GACACTTGGGCCCTTTCATTTGGCTATCAGGCTACTAAAACAATGATCTCCAAGGAATTGGAATTTCCCCAAGAATCACATGTTGGGGAAGGAAAAGACTGAAGCCTAGGGCCAGCCACAGAGGAATTTGTTTCCCAGGAAGATTTCAAACATATATATGATGCAGACTGCCTTGCCTGGGCAAGCTCTCTGAGAGATTATTCTGAGTGCTGGTGGCCTCTGACACTTAGCCTATCTTGCAGGAAAAATTAGACAAGATGGCTTGAGGATGAGCAGGACCACAGCTTGACCAGGGCTTCTTTCTTATGTGTAACTGTTGCTCTCTAAAATTAAACCTGCTGGGGATTGAAGTCAGCCCATGGACAGTCAGTGAAACCTGGTGTTGGACTCCAAAGGTACTGAGCACTGCGCTGGGGTTAGTTCCTGTCACTGGTGCCGTGCGTTGTCCCTGACTCCACATTGGGAAGACAACAGGTGATTTACATCTGATGTTCCTCTAGAGTTTGTTTTTGCCCTTCTCCCTTTGGCTGACTTTAATTTGTCTCTTTTACCTGTGATGCAATGTAACCACAAGTATAACAGCTTCCTGTGAAGTTTGTAAGTTCCCCTAGCAAACTATCAGCTAAGATTGGTTTGGGGACACTCCTTAAACTTACAGCTGATAGAAATGGGAGCAGCCTTGTGGTTTGAATGAGAAATATCTCCAGTAGGCTCATGCATTTGAATACTTGTAGCAGAAATTATCCTGTGTCCTGCAGCTGCTTGGTCCCAAGTAAACACATAAGGCTTACATTAATTACAAACTGTATGGCCGATGGCTCAGGCTTCTCGCTAGCCAGCTCTTACAACTTTAACTCAGCCCATTCCTATTAATCTATATTTTGCCACGTGGCTTCGTGGCATTACCTGCTCTCTCACATCTTGCTTCCCCTTGTGGTGGCTCGGAGCATCTCCTCCAACTCCGCTTTTCTTCTCCCTCTCTCTCTCTTGGATTTCCCGCCTGGCTCCATTCTGCCCTGCCATAGGTCAATGCAGCTTTATTTATTAACAAATGGGAGCAACACATATTCACAGCCTACAGAAAGACATCCCACAGCAAACACTTGGTTCCAAGCTGGTGGCACTGTTAAGGGAGATTATGGGGCCTGGCTGGAGCAGGCCCATCAAAGGGAGTAGAGGGCTTTGGGGTTTCCTAGCCTGGCCCCACTTCCTGTTCTCTCTGTCTCTCTAGTTCTCATCCAGTGTGTGGATAAATATGATTGCTCCACTACCTGACTGCCAGGCCAGCCTCACGCTCCTGCTGTCATGCCATCCCTGCCACGATGGACTGTGTCTCCTCTGGAACTGTAAGCCAGAACAAACTCTTTTTTCTCTAGGTTTCCTTTTGTCAGGGAATTTTATCACAGCACCAAAGAAGTAACTAACACAGGCCTCATGTGGGTTGCGTGTAGTGATGTATTTTGTACACTAATAAAATTTGCCTGAAGATCAGAACAAGCCACTAGATTAAACATAGAGGCCAGGCAGTGGTGGCACACACCTTAATCCCAGTACGTGGGAGTCACACGCCTTTAATCCAAGCACTAGGAAGGAAGTGATATGGTGGGCAGAGAAAGGTATATAAGGTGTGAGGAGACAGGAACTAAAGGCTTTTCTGCTGGAGGTGCTTTCAGCTGAGGAAGTCCCTTTCAGCCTAGAGGCCTTTCGGCTAGAGAGCCTTTTTAGGCTGAGGAGTCCTAGAGATAAGACATGGCAGTGGCTTCTTCCTTTGTCTCTCTGATCTTCAGGCAAATTTTATTAGGGTACACAATATATCACCACAGTTGTATGATTTCAAACATTTCAGATGTCCAAAGGGAACACATGTCCATAAAAATAAGACCCCTGTCTTAGTTGGGGTGTCTATTGCTGTGATGAAACACCATGATCAAAGGAACTTGGGGAAGAAAGGGTTTATTTGGCTTACACTTCCATATCACTGTTTATCATTGAAGGAAATAGGGACCAGAGTGCAAACAGGGCAGGAACCTGGAGGTACGATATGACACTGAGGCCATGGAGGGGTACTGATTATTGGTTTGCTCCCCAAGGCTTGCTCAATCTGCTTTCTTGTAGAAACCAAGACTGCTAGCTGAGGGGTGGCCTTACCTACAACTGGGCTCCTCCCCATGATCACTAATTAAGAAAATGTCTTTCAGGCTTGCCTACAGCCTGGTCTTACGTTGACATTTTCTTAATTAAGGTTCCCTCCTCTCAGATGACTTTAGCTGTGTTAAGCTGACATAAAACTATCCAGGACAAGTTCCAAAGAGATTGTCAAAGGAATTGACACTGCTTGAAACAATTTGGAAGAAGTTTGCACTTAGGTGCACTCTTGAAAGCAACCCTTTTTCTTTAGAACAAGCTAAACCATAGGCCCTTAGCTTTGCAGGGAGAACCAGGGAAAATACAGCCAAGAAGAGGCCTCTTAGTGTCTAAACAAATTGATCTCAGTGATTGCCTCTGTCAAAAATTAAGTGATTCAAACTAATAAGCATAGCACAATTAAAAAATAGGGCAGTCATATCTGAGTGGTCTGCATTTCACCAAGGGCCATGGTGTCATCTGCGCTAGGACTGCTGTGGAGGGCCATGTCTGGGTCTGTGGCTCTACAGTGGCCAGGGTCCGAGTTGATGTCTGGAGATCCTGTTACCACCAAGGGTCATGCACATGATCGGGGTCTGGTCAGCTACCTCAGACTATGTCAGTGTCAGAGAACCATGCCACTGCCGGGGCCATGCTGATCTGGGTGGCTAGTGCTGCCACCTGGAGCCTTGGAGACGTCCAGGCATGGGCCACTGCCAAGGGCAATGTCTGGGTCCATGATCCTGCTGCAGCTGGGGTCTGTGTTGATCTCCATGGTCCATGTTAGCCCAAGGGGTCATTGGACATGGTCCGTGTTAGCACAAAGGGTCACTGAAATCATGCTGTGCTGAGCCAGCCCTGCCCTTCAGTGGCTCTGGGATAGCTGGCCCTGCCCCTCACTGGATACTGCAGCAGGAGAGCTGGCCCTACCCCGCACTATGGCATGCACCTTACCTGGGCAGCACATTAGAGCTGGCATTGTAGTTGGGATGCAAGTGAACCGGCCCTGAGGTGGTGAAAGCAGGAAAGCTGACCCCAAACCACCCTCGTATGCCTCCTACAGCATTTGGGAGAGAGGGCTCTGTAGCTCCTGTGGGCAAAACAGTAGAGCTGGCCCTGGTGATGTGAGTGTTGGGGAGCTGGATCTGAGGGCCTGAGAGCAGGAGAACTGGCCTTGCTTCTTGCTGCAGGCTGCAGTGGGTGAGCCAGCCAAAGCTGGAGAGCTCATCCAGGTAGTGATGATGAAGGAAAGCTGGTGGGCTGACCAACCCAGCTATTACCCAGGCCCAGAACCAGGGCTATGAATTGGCCTACCTCAACATCATCTGAATCCATGAACTGTTGGAGCATGTGAAAGGGAAAAACCTACAGATACAAAACAGCAGGATTTCCATGACACAGGACAACAATGGGATATCCAAGAGGAGCCCCAGTGATAACCCATTATTGGTGGTGGAGCAGAAACCAGAGGCCTCAAGCCTGACCAATGATTTGTGGCGATGAACACTTGCAAGTAAAGATGAATAGATGAATGGACTAAAGGGTAAACTGTTACTCAACAGGCCACACTACAGCTTCTTTTGTTTGTTTGTTTGGTTTGGTTTTTTGTTTTTCTTTTAAGTTTGGTTTTGATTTGCGGGGGGGGGGGGGGGGGGGGGGGGGGGGGGGGGGTTTTGTGGCGGGGAGATGTTGCAAGGGCAGAGGGTGGATTTAAGGAGATGGGGAGATAAGTAGGACCGGAATGCATGATGTGAAATCCACAAAGAATAAAAAAAAGTTTTAAAAAAGATAAATATAAAAAGAATAGGGCAGTCACCTGGAACCTAGAGCTGGAGGGGGCCATTTAATACCAAAAGACACAGTGAAAAGCAGTTGGTATGCATGCCTGTAATTCCAGCGGTTCCAGAGGCTAAAGAACAATACAGAATATCAGTGGAAGCAATTTTTGAGAAAATAAAGTTGGCAAACTCTTAGACAAGTTAAGCAAAAGAAAGAGAGAAGACCTCAAAATTTTAAATTAGGCATAAAAGAGGAATATTAATAGATACCACTGAAATCTAGAGGATTATTGAAAATGTATAACCTGATAAGTTATAAAACCTAGGGGAAAAAATGGATAAATTTTTAGACACATGTGAACCAAAAGAATATAAGCAACCCAAAAATGATAGTGAGCAATGAAACTGGAGGAGTGATAGTCTCCAGACAAAGACAAAGTACCAGGCAGAGTAATTGCTGAACTGAACCAGACCTCCAAAGAAGAGCTAAGACCTTCTCATACTGTCCCACAAAATTGGAAGGGAAGGAATTCTAAACTCACGACAAGAAGCTACTGCCACTCTGATGGCAAAACTGGGTGATGACATCACACCAAGAGAAAGCTACAGACAATTTCCCTGATGAACACAGATGCAAAAATCCTCAGTAAAATTCCAGCAAACTAAATTAAGCAACAGAATAAAATGATAAAACCTCAGAAGCAAGGTGGTTTCACTCTAGGGATGCTGGGATAGCAAATGAATTAATGTGATGCAGCATAAAAGTGGAATACAGACAAATTACATAATCATCTCAATGGATATAAAAAAAGGTTTAGACAAAATTCAGCATCCTTCATGACCAAAAACTCTAAAGCAATTAGGAACATTAGGATCAGATTTCCCCACGATAAGACCTTTCTATGAAAACCCAGCAGTGAGTATTATACCAAATGGGGAAGAGTGGACAAGATTCTTCTAAACCAGGGACAATTCTACTCTGTTCACTAATGTGGTGATCACAATAAAGTCCTGAGCTGTGTTCTACTATCTCCCTCCCTCCCCCCTCCCTCCCTCCCTCCCTCCCCCTCCCTCCCTCCCTCCCTCCCTTCCTTCTCTTTTATCTTTTTCTTTTCAGATAGTCTCCAGTAGCCCAGGCTTGCCTTGAGTTCACAATGCAGCCAGTGACAACCTCGAACTTCTGATCTTCCTGCCTCCACTTCCCAAATGCTGGATTACAGGTGTGAGCCACCATGTCTAGTTCATGCTGGGGTCAAACTTAGGTTTTTGTACATATGAGGCAAACACTCCACCAACTGAGCTACGTATCTAACCCTGAAAAGTGTGTTCCAAACACAGATGTTTATCTTTTTTGCTTTACTTTTGGTGGTGATGAGTTCTTGGTTCATCGTTTTGGCAACAGTAAGTTCCCTGAAGACCAAATGGCTTGGAAACTTTAGTGTCCAGCAGAACTTCCTGCATGGACATAAATGTAAACCAGGTGGCCTCCTAGCCAGGAATGGCTGGTGTAGTTCAGGAGCTAAATTTTAAATTAAGTTAAATTTAAATATGAACATATAGAGTTTGTGCTACTGTGTTGGTTTCTCCAATGTCACACTAGTTCTTTTCTACTTCCTGTCCTGGAGTATCACATGCAGTTCATTATTTAACAGCAGATAATCAATTTACTAAAGTGACTAACTCAAGTATTTGCAATGGTGACTTTAATCTCAAAATCTGGCTCAGCAACCATGGAGGACAGCTGCCCACACTTCCTCAAGTACCCCTCCTTGCTCCCTTTCAAATTCATGGCCTCCTTTTTCATTAATTGTTATTTCATTCATATGTATATGTGTGTGTATCTATATGCATACACATATATATTCCTAAATATAACCTGCTCAGTCTGTATACTGTTACTTGTATGCATATTTTCAGGGATGACCATTTGATATTAGATAGCCAATTGGTGTGCTCCACCCTGGGAAAGACTATTTCTTAGTTGCTTGTAGTTCTTTGTGTACCCTTGAGGCTGGTGGACATTTCCCTGTCTACTTTAGCATGTCTGTTGGTATTGTCCTTGTTTGGTTAGCCATGTCAGTGAGACTTTATGGGTGTAGCTTCTGACATTAGTAGAAAACAGTAATGAAAGATTCTCCTTCTGAGCATCACTTTCCCAAGTGACTGCAGAACTTCTTACTAGATCCCACTTTGTTTTATTTATTTTACATCCCAGCTGCAGTTTCCCTCCCTCCTCTTCTCCTACTCCCTCCCTCTGCCTCCCCTCTGCCTGTCCCTCCCACCCCCCAATTCACACCTCCTCTGTTTCTATTCAGAAAGGGGCAGGTCTCATATGGGTATCAACAAGGCATGACATGTCAAGTTGAGGTAGAACTGAGCTCCTCCCCTTCTATTAAGGCTGGGCGAGGCAACCCGGTATGAGGAATGAGTTCTCAAAATCCTGTCAAGGCATTAGGGACAGCCCCTGCTTCCACTGTTAGGAGTTCCACAAGTAGACCAAGTTCCACAACTAACATATATATGTAGAAGGCCTACATTGATCCCATGCAGGCTCCCTGGTTATTGTTGGTTCAGACTCTGTGAGCTCCTATGAGCCCAGGTTAGTTGTTTCTGTGGGTTTTCTTGTGATGTCCTTGACCCCTCTGGCTTGTACAGTCATTCCTCCCTTTCTTCAGCAGACTTCCCCCAGCTCAGCCTAATGTTTGGCTGTGGGTGCCTGTGTGTGCTTCCATCAGTTACTGGATGAAGGCTCTCTGATGACAACTGGGATAGACACCAATCTATGTGTATAGCGGAATATCGTTAGGAATCATTACATTTTTTTTCTCCAGTTGTGTTTGATTTTATCCTAGGTCTCTGGGCCATCCAGCCTTTGGGTTCTAGCACTCCAGGCAGTGTTAGGGGTGGGCTCACTCTCATGGCATGGGTCTCAGGCTGGACCAGTCCTTAGTTGGCCATTTCCACAATCTCTGAGCCACCCCTACCCTTCCCCCCACCCCCTGTCCCATAGGCAGGACAGACTGTAGGTCACAGGAGATGGTCAGTTCAGGCTATGTATCCACTAATTGCTTGAAGTCTTAGCTGAGGTCATCCTTGTAGATTCCTAGGAATTTTCCTTGTACCAGATTTCTGCTTCCCCTTTCAGTCATCTCTTTCAGTCCTCTCCTCCTCTATGACCCCCAACCTGATCCCTTATGTTCCTATCTCCACCTGCCCCCAGTACACCCACAAGCTCTATTTCCCCTTCACAGGGAGATACATGTGTCCCCCTTGGGCCCTCCTTGTTACCTAGCCTCTCTGGGTCTATGCATTGTAAATGGTTATCCTTCACTTTACAGCTAATATCTGCTTATAAGTGAGTACATACCATGTTTGTCTTCCTGGGTCTGGGTTACCTCACTCAGGATTATTTTTTTCTATCCCATTAACTTGCCTTCAAATTTCTTGATGTCATTGTTTTTAACAGCTGAGTTAATGTGTAAATGTATCACATTTCTTTATCCATTCTTCAATTGAGAAACATCTAGGTTGTTTCCAAGTTCTGGCTATTACGAATAAAACTGCTATGAATATAGTTGAGCAAGTGTCCTTGTGGTATGATTGAGAATTCTTTGGGTGTATGACCAAGAGTGGTATATCTGGGTCTTGAGGTAGATCAATTCCCAATTTTCTGAGAAACTGCCATATTGATTTCAAAAGTGTGGGCCCCACTTCTCAAGAGTTCTGTCACCTCCCACATCACTACCACCCTGGGGATCAGGCTTTCAATACAGAGATCTTTGGAGACCAAGTCACAAGACCAAATCTCTTTGGTCCAGACCCATGTATCCCAGGGTGCCATGTTACCTCTCTCTGGGCTTTGCTTTTCTGCAAGTCTACTGTCTCCTTTACTCAGCATACTCCATTGTCACAAAAGCCCAACCATTCTGTAAAGATATTATGAAGGATACTTGATTCAAAAGCCTATGAATCACAAGGTTACATAAAGAAGCTACTCTAATCTAAATGCCCCCTGATACATGGAACACACCCAGTGCCTCCCGGAAGGAGATCTGGCAGGTCCCCAGGTCTCCTGCCCCTGGAGGCACATAGAGGGCAAGGGCCAGATCCCAGCAGCATCTCCAGCAGGACAGCCACGGGGAGGTCATGGAGCAATTCTTCGTTTCTGTGGGGCTGCTTGTGTGCCTGGTCTGCCTGCTGAAGTGCGGGAGGCTTTCCCAGTACCTCCTGCTGCGCTCCTGGAAGGTTTTACCAAGGTCTTTCCTGCAATCCATGGGACAATGGGCAGGTAAGAGGACTCCCTGAGTCTTGCTGATTTGATTGCTCCTGTTTCTTTTTCTTATGTCTCAGAATGCCTCTGTGACTTCACATAAAATAAATGTTGTGGCTAGATAGCATGAGTGGAATTAGAACTATCTGAAAATGAAGGTGTGGATCAGGAGATGGTGGAGGAGGGAGACTGCCCCTCTGCTCTTACCCATGCATCTATTACTTTGCTTGATTTTCTTCTTTTTGGAGTTTTTCTGATAATACAAATAATAAATAAGGCAGAAATACCTATATCCTCATCTATAGATTTCTAAACCCTGGACTGGTATGCTTCTATTTTGCTAAAGGGTGTTTCAAAAAATTTGAAACCAAATGTTAATTGATTTTTTTTTTAAATGCATTTCATGCCCTTACTAACTTGGCAACTTTGCAAACTTTGTCATAGATTTTTTTTAAATGACTATATGGGAAATTGTTCAGGATGAATTAATGAATTTCTAACTGATGCTTCTTACACTGTGCATGCACACATGTACATATATGTGCACACATATGTGATGTGTGCATACATGTGTTTGCTGTCTCCAGTAAACTTACTAAGCCACCTGAGTTTGCATACTCTAGTTCAAATATCCTACTGGGCACAATCAAATGCCCATGTGCCTGGTGCTACGAGACCTCTGCACAACTACTGCCCACTTAGACCCTCAGAACACTCCCCCAAAGCAGTTAAAATGGAGCTAGAGACTCCGTGGTTTCAAAGTGAAAAATATAATCTTAGCTTGTTTGGGAGTCAAGAGTGAATAACGTTATCATGAGCAAACATGTGATGTCTTCAGGCACAGACAAACCTTGGAGGGAAAATATTTTAAGTAGATGATGAAAAATCCCAGTAAGAAGGCTAGAAAATACCCGGAGAGAATATTCTGAGATCCATGCTCAATAAACTTGATGGATTTTTTTTTGTTAACATTTTAAAAAATGTGCCCTTTAATTATTGGTGCCAAGGTCAGTTGCAGGTACATGTGCAATTGTGGTAATCTGTCTCCAATTTTGGGAATGAAGGGCATAAGGGCCTTTGAGATTGTTGGGTACTAGCAGATAGTGGTATAGAGGATTAACTATCTAAAGACCTTGGGTTCCTGCACCCCCATTCCTGTGTCCTTTATGCTAGGTTCCTTATCTTCCACAGTCACTGTGGGCTGCTGTCCTGTGGGGTGGAGGAGGGGAGGACCAGACTTCACTCTCAGAAGGGACCCTGAGGTGTTCTTAGGGTAACCACTGGGCAGGGGTGAAGCAATAACAGGACACATGCTTGCCCTTGAGGTGCTAAGGCTTGCATTGCCCCAAACCCTAAGAATCTGGATAAAATACTTGTTGGCTTAGTGCTTTGCTGCATTTCACAGTGTGTTTTCTAGATTTACAGATCCCTCGCAAAACTACACACACAACCCTTTGCCCCCAAAATAAAACAGAAAAACCCTTCACTTCAAGTGTTCTGTCAGGGGTTACCAAGAGCTGGAAGCTTTGGAGTGGGAAAATGCGGTTTTGTGGTATCACGAGTTCTAGACTGAGAAGTACGAAAGAATATAGCTGTGAGAAAGAGATATGTCCTGTTGCTTCAAGACTGTCACTGTTTCTTGCAGTGATCACCGGAGCAGGAGATGGCATCGGGAAAGCCTACTCATTTGAGGTGAGGTGGCTGCTTTCTTGCAGTTTAGATTTTGGAAATCAGGTCTTACCATGTCTCACTGACTGACCTCACATGGATTCCTGCGCTAGCTTTCTGAATTGCTAGGACTACAGGTGAATCCCACCAGCCTAACTATGAAGCTGTCTCCCTGTTGTCTTGGGACATCGACCTCACCAATCACCATCCCGAGTACAAAAGTCATAAACATTCATTTAAGAAGTAAAATATCTTTAATGTGAGAGTAGACTAAAAAAAAAAAAAATCCTTCAGACACTTAAAAAGGTTTTGTGTGTATTTGTGTGCCACTTATGTAGCCAGAAGAGAAGGTGGAGTTTGTGAGTCACCAATGTGGTGTTAGGAACCAAACTCTGGTCTTTTGGGAGGGCAGCAAATGCTGAGCCATCTCTCCAGCCTCTTCTCTCAAACAAGCAGACCAGTGGCCCTGCCTCTGTTTAGACTTTAGGGATTTATGGGGCATTTGGTGTTTTTAGGTTGTAATTGTGCCATAGTGTTTAGGTATTTAAATGTACCTTTAAAAATGTAAACTCTGCCCAGTGTGGTGGTGCATGTGTTTAATCCTAACACTTGGGAGGCAGAGGCAGAAGGATTTCTATGAGTTCAAGGCCAGCCTGGTCTACAGAGCAAGTTCCAGGACAGCCAGGGCCACATAGTAAGATCCTGTCTCAAAATGAATAAGTAAATAAATAAATCCCTTTTATTTATCCCATACAAATAGGCAACATGCTGATTCAAAGATTATTTGTGTGGGCTAGATGTATCATATATAGCTTCTATTTCAAAGCACTGGGGAGGCAGAGACAGAGAATTCCCCTGGACAAGCTGGCTAACTAGACCAGACAATCAGTAGGGTCTGGGTTCAGCAAGAGATGCTGCCTCAATAAAGTGGAGGATGATTGAGAAAGACATCTGATGCCTTCATATGCATGCCATCCTGCACACACATGTGAGTCCATGCATATTTAAACACTCACATACACAACACATGTACAAAAAACAGTATGCAAGTCTTTATAAAGAATATTATAAAACTCCAATGAGAAGAACGAGTCCTCCTGAACAAGATACTCATAACTTGTCAGTTTCCCTAAATTTCTTTCAAATCTCATGTTATACATATCATTATTTTTAAAATGTTATGTTTAGTTGTTAGCATTTTCTTATATCAAAAATATTGTCTTAAATTTTATTTATTTTTCACATTTATTTGTGTGTGTGTGTATGTGTGTGTGTGTGTTTGCTTTGTTAGATTTTTGTTTGTTTGTTTGTTTTGTTTTTTCGAGACAAGGTTTCTCTGTGTAGCTTTAGAGCCTGTCCTGGGCACTTTGTAGACCAGGCTGGCCTCGAACTCCACCTGGCTTTATTATTATTTTTTTTAAAGACAGGGTTTCTCTGTGTAGCCTTGGCTGTCCTAGAACTCACTAGGTAGACCAGGCTGGCCTTGAACTCACGGAGATTTGCCTGCCTCTGCTTCTCAAGTGTTGGGATTAAAGGTGTGTGCCACCACGTCCAATGGGTTAGGATTTCCATATGTAAATTTTGAGGGGACACAAATGTTTAGTGGCTATGAAGACTACATTCAACCTCAGAATGGTACCCCTTTCTCTCCATCCCAGAGGCTAATGTCATAATAAATCACACTGTGTGAAATGACAGCTCAAGGTGTCGTGGAGCCACTCTATAAACACTTTGGATGTGACATGTCTTATGCACACCTTTTAAAAAGTTCCAGGTGCTGGCAAAAAGTATCTGTGCCTAGTTTCCACCCTGGAGAAAAATGTGTGGCTCCTGGTTGTCTGCTCCAGGTCTGTTTCATCTACCGTAAAGAATTCTTTGATCTTACTTTAATTCATACATAAGGATGTCCTCACAAGCAGTATTGGCTGGTCCTTGATAGATGGTGTGTGGTCACATTTGAGTGTAGAGAATAGAAAGAGGGCTCAGCAACTGCATTCCAAAGCAGTATGTCTTCTATTACCAAAATCTGGGAAAGGAAGGGCTGGCGAGATGGCTTAGCAGCCCAGCTTGGAGACCTGAGTTCAATCCCACTACAATTGAAGGAAAGAACCAACTCCAGCAGGTTGTTCTCTGACCTCCACACGTGCACTGTCACACACACACACACACACACACACACACACACACACACACACACACACATCACACTACACCACAGCACACCACACACACATACATCCTGCACCCCCTCCACACACACACACCCCACCCATACAATATAATAAAAAATGTTTAATCAGAAGGATGTCTCTCTCATTGCTACAGCCTGGAGCTTGACTTTTCCCTTAAAGGCACATTTACAGCTTGTGCTGCTGGGAGGCTGTGGAACCTCTAGAAAGGAACTAGGCTTCTGAGATGTGTTCATAATTTCCAGCTGCCCTGAAGTGAGTAGCTTTCCCCTGCTGAGTTCGCTCATCATGAGTCCATAGCAAAGGGGTCAACTGGCCACAGATAGGAACTTCTGTAACCTTGGGCCCAAATAAACTCTGCTGCCTTTTAAATGTTTACCTCAGGTATTCACAGTGATCCAAAACTGACTAAGATCTGTGACTACCTTAGGGTTTTATTCCTGTGAAGAGACACCATGACCATGGCAACTCTTATAAAGGAAAACATTTAATTGGGCCTGGCTTACAGTTTGGAGGTTCAAGCCATTATCATCATGGCAGGACATGATAGCATGCAGGCAGATATGGTGCTGGAGAAAGAGCTGAGAGTTTTACATCTGGATGTGCAGGCAGCAGGAAGAGACTGCCACACTGGGCCTGGCTTGAGCATCTGAGACCTCAAGTGACCCCAGTGACCACTTCCTCCAATGAGGCCACATCTCCTAATAGTGCCACTCATATAGGCCTGTGGGGTCCATTTTCATTCAAACCACCACAGTGGCCTATACTCTGAGCTACTTGGATTCTTTCAGATTTCTCATTCTTATCCATTCGGACCTGACTTTTTTCTTGTTACTTAGAGGAGATCCCAAGTCAAATGCTGCCTGAGTTGCTCGTTTCTTTACCATCTTATAAAGCAAGGGTTAGGAGTCAGGAGCTGGGGGCTAGGTAGAGTTGTCAGTCCTCACTCTGGCAGGATCTTCTGACTCTGGCCAAGTGGCACATCATCCTGGGGCTTCTGAGTCCCGGCCAGCACTGGAGAGTTCGCCTGGGAGCCTTGTGTCCTGACATTCTGTCACGTCCTTGACTAATTTTGCTTGTTCTTCTGTACAAACTCTTTAATATTTCCTTGTGTTCTTTTAAAAAGTTAATTAAATATTTTTTTTCTGGGCTCCTAATTTTCCTCATGCAGGCTTTTCTCCATTTCAGAGTCCATTCTTCTCTCCTGCTAACTGCTGCTCCAGAGAAAGGGGTTCAGTCTGGGGTGGTCAGGACTCCGTGGCTGAGAACTGGCGAATATGTGGGTGTCCAGAACTTGCCTCTGACCGTCACTGGCTGGATCTATGTCAGGGAGGTGGCAGCCTTCTCACCTGAGCGTCTGCAAAGGTTAAACAGGATGAGAAGGGCAGAATGCTGCGTAGAAAAGACTTTTCAAGTTTAGCTTCTGTTTATATTGAAAGTTTAAATTGGGTCTCCTGGACCTGGGAAGATTGTTCACTCACTGACTCCCAGCACCCATATGGTATCTCATAAACATCTGTAACTGCAGTCCCAGGGGATTAGGCACCTCCTTCTGGCTTCCAAGGGCACTGCATGCACATGGTGTTCCCTAGAGAAACAAAACCAATTATGGAGAAGGAAGGAGGGAGGGGAGGAAGAGAGTGGGCGAGAGAGCAAGAGCAGAGTATGTGTATTTGGGGAGAGATAGATCTTTTTAAAAGATTAGTTCACATTATTCTGGAAGCTGATGTATTCAAGATCTGCAGGATTGCCAGGAGGTGGTGGTGCATACCTTTAATCCCAGCACTCGGGAAGCAGAGGCTGCAGATCCAGGGATGAGGTTCTCTCATACTAGGGAGGGCAAATACTCAAGTTAAAGTCTTCTATGTTATTTATTACTAAAATACACATTTACATGCCAACTGTGGCGGCACACATCTGAAGTAGAGGCAGAAGTTGCATTCAGCTCCATAGCATTTTTGAGGTCATCCTGGGCTACATGAGACCCTGTTTCAAAAGACCAACAAATAAAAATCAAAAGACCATAACAAAAGAAACACAAACATACATACCCCTTCACAGAAACAGTGTCATTAATGTTTGACCACGTGTCTGGGTATTATGATCTACTTGGGCTGACACATGGAACAGGCCATACTGGAGAAGGAATGTCTGAGACTTATTGTTACTTCTTTCTCTCCATGTCCCTTATTCCTTTAGTCACTTCCTCTCTGCTTAGAGAACTTCTGGTTGTTTTTGGGGACAGATCTGTAGACAAAGTCTCCCTTGGCTTTTCTTTACTCTGTAACTTCTGGGTTTCCCTGTCATTCTTGAAGGATAGTTTGCTGGGTGTAAAATTTATAGATGACATTCCCTTCCTTTCAGTACTTGAAATAGATTGTAGTGCTTGTTTCTGGCCTTGATTTCTGAGAAGATTTTGAATTGTTTTTCCACTGTGGGTAAGGTGTTGTTTCTCTCTGGATTCCTTCAATATGTTTTCTTTGTCTTTAGTTGCCAGAATTTTAGTTCTGACATGTCTTGGTACAACTTTCTTTGATGTTATCTTGCCTGAGGTCATCCCATGGTACTGGTATCTCCAAAACACTGGGGTCTTCTGCTGCAACTTGACTGCACTTTCATCAGTAGCATCCCATAAGCTCTCTTCATGGTGCCAAGCCTCAACTTTGCATGACTCTTTTAGTCCTGGACCTTCAGCTGCTACTGAGGCTGCATCTCACCCACAGCCTCTCCTGGCTTTCAGGCCTCTCCTGGCTTTCAAGTGCTCAGCCTCAGCTGCTCTCCATGACCCCTTCATGCCTTCAGAACCAGTACCACCTGGGTGATGCTTACACATTA